CCTTCCTTACTTACTTACTACGTACTACTACTACTACTACGTAACGTAACTAACTACGTAACGTAACGTTACGTTACGTTACTTACTACTACTCGTCGTGTCGTCGTCTCTCTCTCTCTCTCTCTCTCTCTCTCTCTCTTCGTCTGTGTGTCGTCTCTCTCTCTCTCTCTCTCTCTCTCTCTCTCTCTCTCTCTCTCTCTCTCTCATACACACACACAGCACAGCACACACACACAACATACCATGCATTGTATTTAGAAAGGAAGTTCTCGAGTAAAGGATTAGCAGACTGAAATAAAAAATTCAACTAGTTTTATTTCAAAAGTTACTTACTTGTCAACATCAATTCCATTTCGACCATTCGCTACAATATCATACAAGAAACGCTTCTCTTTTACTTCCTGTAGCAAAACAAAAATTTTCCAGGAAACATTTTAATTAGATCTCTATGAAACAAGAAAATAATAAGGACAGCTACATTCCAATCGCAATAATACAAAACAAAGTGACTAAAAATGTCACAACAACTTACTTTGGAAGATGAGATCCCACAGCTAGCAAGAATCATTGCCTGACAATCAAAATGAAAGATTATACAGTATTTTTTTTGTGTGTGTGTGTTTTACCTAAGGAATTGAATCAAATTTTTTTGAAGGATCTTGGATCACTTTAAAATGAGTTACGACATCAACATAAAAGGCTACATATAAACTGTCAATATCTTAGAATCAAGATGAAATGAACTATCTTGCCCATTTCATAGTTAATGATCATCTTGTGATATCCAAGTTTCTTAATCCAAAGAGGCAGCACATGACAACCTCATATCTAAGAGCAAGAATGTCAAATAATCCTTCAAAGTTGGATTTCCTTAACAATCAAATGAAGAATTTAGAAATTTGATCTAAATTTTTTCTAAAGGATATCCGTTGGAGAATTGTGAAAATGTTTAAATGTAATGATTAATTCAATTAGGGGTTTGGCCCCTTTGCTTAGTGGCCTGCACAAAAGGTCCATAATAGAAAGTTTTGAATTCTAACTATTCAACAGAAAAGCAGAAAAAACTTAATGCAAATCATCAATTGCGGAAATTTTATGTTGAATTAATCTAATTGTGAAATAAGAATGACTGTTCAACATAAGAAAAGCAAGGATTTTTTATGCAGAAAGAAATGCAAATAATTGTCAAGTATACTAAAATATAACAGAACATAAAAACCTCACTTACTTTCACTTTTTTTAGAACATCAGAATCAATGTCAACGTTGTGTTCATGAACAATGTAATCCACCATGTCGACTGACATTTGTTCGTGAGACCTAGAAATATGATTGTATGGAATTAGCAACGGCGAGCATACACTGGTTAAGGTTTTGCGATGAAATCCTAACACATTAATTATCTTTCTTTAAATTATGTCAGCAGCAAAAATACAAGTCATCATAATAAAATTTACATCAGCATCATGGATTTTATTCAAAAGTCAAAATTGCTTCAACTGCCCCAGATATAAGGAAGAATTCTATCTCCCTATTAACAAAAGGGTGAAAGGTAAACTTAGCAAAATATATAGTACTCTACTAGTAAAAATGAATTCAATAAGATGTAAACAAATATAACACCAGATTAATTGTACATTAGCAGGTAGTATGCATTTATAAGAGCAACATTCAACTTTTCCGATTCCCTTCCAAACCACGCTACAGAATAGAGAAACATTGTGATGCAATTCGACAAATATACACCTAAAAATTTTCAACTAAAAGACTTTTCTCTCATCTGACATCTAGTCACTTCCAAGATTTGAGTGGTGGGTCACTATCCTCTTCTTCCCCCAACTTGCAGGTTTACTACAGTCAATTTTTTTTTTCCTTCTTTCTGGGAAGTAACAAAATGTATTGCGTTGAAGTAGTCCGTTTGTACATCTATCTGTCAAAGAAGAAATAGATATAAAATTGTGACTCAAAACAAAATCTCTATTAGTGTCAGTCATGCACTGAAAACTCATCCTCCATCGTAAGAAGTGACATGGCAGCCTAAGAATTGCCTCCTCCTTAAATGCAAACCACCATCATATCTTGATAGAGGTGCCATACATAACCAATTCAAGGGTTTTGTGACACGGAAATGCCATCTATTCAGTCTCCAATGAAACATATAGTCAGTGCAACAAGTGGATCGAGTTGATGCCATTTGTTCAGTGAACATTTAGTGGGGCAAATCATTCTCCCCCATATTCTATCAAAACATCAGCTTCTAACTGATACACCAAAGCTATGTTTAAAAGCTGGCATCCTGCCAAAGAATGTGTCATTTCTAGACCATGATAGACATAGAAATTGCCTTTGTGTACTGTTTGGTTTTGTTCTTTAGCAAGGTTATTGTCATCCTATTTCCCAAAAAAAGGTTGTTGTCATCCTTAACATACTTTGGCCTATTACACTCAACCCCATCAGACATGAACCAGTGCACGTAAAGAGTCACTGCTTTACCATTTTATCTTCTCTAGGATTATGCACTTCAATACAACCCTATGTTGTTTCAAAAGTGGGATACCAATTTATATGGTTGATACCAATCAAGGTTCTCAAAGTTTCACCTCAAGAGGTTCTCAAAGTTCACCTCAAGGCCACTTTTCAGAGCCTTGTTTCATCTACTCCGAAAGAATAAGGTGAAGGATTCCATTGCAAGGCAGCAAGAGGTCTATTATGGCTATAGCTCAACGCATTTAGCAACAAACAAACTTCATGTCAAGATGCAAGAAATGATGATGACAAACATGAGGTTATGAAACAACATCAACACATCTTACACTATTAGTGGTGTGACGCCGGACAATATTATTCGTATTTTTAATTTTTATTTAATTTCAAATGATGTATATTTTAGTTTTAGTTTTAAGGTTTACTTTTAGAGCTTTTAATTATTTAGGAATTCTAGGATTTTTTTTATATTTGTATTTACTATTCACTGGCTATTTTATTCATGGGTATTGTTGATAGGTACTATTTATGGGTTACTGTTCATATGGGTAAAATTGTCATTGCAAATTTTGTATTTAAATTAGGACTTTTTGGGTCATTTAATTATTTCACAAACATTTTATGTCCTTGAACATAAAATTATAATATATAAAAGGTGTGTGGCGGCATTGAGGGGGTCATTCCATGTGATTTTCCAGAATTGAAGAAAGAAAAAGCTTACCCTAGCTTGGGGTGAGGAGGAAACCCTAGGTTTCTCCTAGTTATTGCTTATTTGGCTTGTTTTCTTGTTGATTTTACTGTTCTATCAATTTTTCTATATCAGGTTGCCTCATTTACTAGATAAAATCACAAAAAAATAAATGTACAAAAAACTCAGGCAGTCATTCTAATATTTTCTCATACAAGACATGGACATTGAAATATCAAAAGTAACATTTGTAATAATAAGATGAACTAACCACTCTATTCCTTTTAGAACCCTTGGTAGAAATTCTCGTTCAAATAAATGGCTGAAAGGTCCATGACCAGCATCATGTAATAGGCCTGAATATTGCACAAAAAATGTTGCTATATATTTAAGCAAGACAGGAAATAAAAAAAACTGGAGATACCATACAAATTGCAATCACAATTTCTCACCAGCAAGTTTCACTGCCAAGACATCAGAACGATCAATGTCGAGCTCCAATCCCTACATGCAAAACTAATCTTATTACCACAATCCACAGAGCAGGTTTATGTCATTATAAAAATATAAGAATATGCATGTCAAAATCAATTCAGACCTGATACTTTCTTAGCCTGTGCAGTGCTTCACCTGCAAGCCAATACACTCCAAGTGAATGTTCGAATCGCGAATGCACAGCACCTGGGTAAACCATGTGCGTAAGACCTGCAAGATTACAAAATAGTCAAGAAGTAATCATGAAGTATCATGAAATTACAAGAGAAGTGATCATATTCAAGACCTGAAAGGTATATGTAGCAGCACAGAACAAGGTCTCCATAACTTGGACTTGACAAAAGAGCAGTACCAGGTGAAGAACTTGACATAACTTTGACTTGCCAAAAGATGAATAGCGGAAATGGAAATTAACTCCAACATGTTTTTTTGTTAATTATGAAAAATGGATGGCAGGCAAAAAGAATAGCATTTTGTGTTGTCTTCACAAATAGGAACAATCCACAAAATACAATCACGTGCAGAAGAAAATCTTTAGCAAGTAACTAAGTGTTGGACGTGCCAAGCAAAAAAAAAAAAGCTCAAGAAAAGAAAAAATGTATAGAAAGGCACAAAAATAATCTGCATCAAAGCCTCTGAATATCATCAATATGGAAGGATCTTGCCAAACTTTAACATATTCTACACTATCAAATAAAAAAACATTAACATATTGTTAATTCTCCCAAACTCTAAACCTCTCTATGTGGTATATATCTTGGCAGAGAGCAATCACACTACCTAGCATTTGGTCAGTGGTTCAAATTTTTATTTCATCATTTAAGAAACGGATGCACATGCAAAAGGAAAGAAAAGACTTTTGATTGTAATAGAACATTTTACTGCTGCATTCTTATCTATCCACCGAGGTATTAAAAAAATGAAGTACATAGTTCTCTACAACAGAATGTTTCTGGACGACTCTCAGCTTCTTTGGAGACAACTAATAGTATATAATCATACTAATTTAAAATGATATCAAAGATCAGAATCATTACATCTTCAGCTCCCTAGTAACTTGGATACTGGAAATGTCAGAGGAGCTCACCAAGTTGCTTTAAATCACGAAGCCTGCAGAATGAAACAGAACTTCTATCAGTTAAAAAGAATTAATATCCTATTAACAGGATAAACAATAATCTCAGAACAAGATAACCCACCTCTGAAACTGTTCAGTATCAATGAACTTCAGGCTAAGCTGCAAATATCCAGAACAGTATACTAAATTCAGTAGCAGATATATCAAATATTGACACCATTGCGCATTAACCAATGGAAAAATCATGTATTGAGTAATGTTTCCCAAGATAACAGACTCCAAAAGGTTGAGGACACTTTCAACCAGAATAGTTAAAAACATGAACCATTAGCATCTCCCTAGATATGCATAAAAAACTTTCCAGGCCCAACATGGGCTTATACACCTAAATGACTGCAAATTATAGGGGTTCAAAGATGCTAAAAGATACAAGAAACTCCCCAAACTGAACAAGAATGATGTCATTTAAAAGATCCCCAGTCGTAAACCATATAGACCATGCAAGATGTCAGAAGTGAACGTTCAAAAATAAGAATAAAAAAAAAAAAAAAAGGAGGGGAGAAGAAAAAGCTCTATTGAGCCTGTAAGATATGTCTGAGTAAAGTAAGTAAACAAATGAACAATGCCTTCAAAAGCATTTTACCCCATCGTTTCAAAAATAAATTGGGAGTTTCTTAATCAAATTACAGAAATTATTACTCAAAAAATGGAAAAATGTGATAAGCATTTGGGACAGAAAAACTTGAGAATGAATCCAAAGAAATAGGTAGTGATTAAATTCAAATAGAAGGAAATCAAGCACCAATCATACAGAAATATCAACTCTAGAAGTTGAGAGAACTAGAAGTTGAGAGAATCGTCAAACTCTCCAAAGTGGTGCATAAAATGGAATTGAGTCCTTTCACCCTGGAGCAGAGGTGAAACCAAACTGTCAATGATAAATATATAAATAATATAAGAATGCCATATAGGGATATAAGTTATCGTAATTTGGTGCAAAAGAGACTAATATATGACTTTCCAAAATATAACTTAAGAAACAATCAACGAAAGAGAAATAAGAAAAATTGAGTAGTGATATACATATTTCATTTTAATCTTTCTCTCGCGCTCTGTAATTCCGATTGACAGAGAATAAACATATTCCATTTCAGAAGACCCTAAGAAGTTCAATAGAACAATCTGCATATTTCGTTTCAGACAACTCTCTCGTTTTACAAATTTCGAAATAGCAATATGTATATTTCATTTCACAACTCTCTCTCTCTCTGGACTAAAACACAGTCCGCCATTACTCAGCTGAATTTCAAACAAAATAAACCAAATGACAAATGGAAAGAAGATGAAAACACAAATACCTGATCAAGTTGAATATTCCCATGAACATTATCATACACAGTTTTCAGGTGCCTCCGGCTATGGAAGCCCTGCGATTCCGGCCACTTCGACAGATACTCCTCATGCTCAAAGCATGATCCCATTCTCTCTCTCTCTCTACAACTCTCCCTCTCTCTCTCTCTCTCTCTCTCTCTCTCTCTCTCTACAACTGTCTCCCTCCGAGCATGCCGAAGGAAACTTGGAACAGAGTTTAGAGACAGACAGAGAGAGTGAGGGGACAGTATTTGAAGCGCCTGAATGTGTTTAGTGGGGCCCCCTGCATTCTCTTTGTTTCTGTTCATCTCTTGCTGAAATGGACGGACTACGTTGATTGAAAGCCGTTTGAGAGTATCTCAACCGTTGAATGCACAGTTAAATAGGAAGGCTGGCCCACACGATGGGAAAATTGTGGAACGCGGGAGTGCACCCGCCAATAATTGGAAATAAAAGAACGAACACCTTTTTGTTTTTTTTTATAAAAGGAAAAATGACGAATTTAGCCCTAATGTTTACGTAAATGGCGAACTCTGGAGTACAATAGGCCTCGAAAAGAGGAAAAATATCCTGAGCGTGCTATTCTCGTTTTGTATCAAAAGCAACACTTCCGAGGTTTGTAGAATGGAAGTACAGTATCCATCTACTCTCTCTAAGTATGCAATCGGTCTTGAGGAGTACATACCCAAGTTAAAATATGGTGAGGTTTAATATTTTAATTTTAAGCCATCGATTTACATTTTTGGTATCTTGTTCGTAACTGAAACTCAATTATTGATTTACTTTCAAACAGTAAAACAACTTCAAATATCAATTGTAAAATCTTTTATTTCAAAATAATAGAGTTCTATAAATTTTTTAATAAAATCAAAATTAACAAAAAGTTACATTTGAGTGTTCTTCAAAGTAAACGATGATAATCGTACTCTCAAAGTGTGTGGTTAGAATCTTCTCGCAAAAAGAATTTATTATTCTCTTACACATTCAATATTTCTTATTTTCTTTTGTTCACCTATAAAATTTCCCCGTATTTATAGAGATGGAGTTTTAAAAGATTGACACATTGCTTTCACATGGCCTTAGATTATGCATTTACATAATTACACACTCATTGTAGTGTTGTAACCACCTGGAAGTATTATAGGTGACTAGTAACTGTGCATAATTTTGTATTATTTTAAGAGTAATGATCCTATAGGACCTCCCCTCGCCCATATGAATAGGACTTCAAAGAATCACCATTAAATTTGATGCAGATCTTTAGAAAAATTATCACATAGGTGTAGGATTTGATTTATTTAGATATCCATGTTAAATTTAATGATGATCTTTGGGGTTTTACACACATGGGTGGAAACAAGTCCGATCATTTCTTTTATTTTAATTATTTACTATTCATCACTTTAATTATTGTACAAATAACTTTGTATAACTTAATATTATTTTAATCATTTACCATTCATATGCGCACTTGTCTAGTTCGTTGTGCACATTATTTTTCACAATTATTGTCCTCTTGACGACTGACTTATACAATCCAAACAAACATACGAGGCGAAAAAGCTAACAAAATAAAATCCAAATATTGAACAAAGTCTTCGTAATTTTTTTCAAAGAGAGATCAAAGTGTCAAAAAAATTCAAAATTCAATTTTTTTTCTTAAAAACAATCATCAAGTGATTGTTTAGTGGTAGGTGGAAAAATGGCAAATCAAATAAAAAATAGCTAGTTCGAATCAAGAACCATTGGGGCCAGTCTGATTCGTCCAAAATATAAAGAACTAATTGGTTTTGTCATAAATCGGCCTCACTTTTTTTTTTATTATTATTTTTAAAATTTTGTTATTTTCTAAATTTAATTTTTTTTTATTGGCTGATTCACTCAGCCGGAATCCCTATCCTTACTACCAATCCACTAAACTGGACATGTTTTCCAGGTGGGCAATCCAAAAGCCACTTATCCAACTTTCTTTTAACCTTACTTTTGACTGAAGGAGTAGATGCATAGATGTTGGTGCCCCTGTGGGAGCATGATACACATGCTCTCTATATTTTATTTGTCTTCAATCCTTTCTTATGATATTACTATTTTTTCACAATTCTTGCTTTTGTCTTGAACAAGTTTTAAAACACATATGGAAAACTGGTCCAAATCGGTAATCCCCGCAGAGTGAACTGCCCAATAAAAAAAATTTAAAAAATAGAAAACAAAAATTCTAAAAATAAAAGGTGGGGCTGGTTTTTTCACAATAACAGCTGGAAATCAGCTGGCCCCGGTATGAGCAGCCAGTTACCAATATTTTGGAGACACCAGACCAACCTCACCAATTACAAATCGGATGCGTCCAGTGCTGGTCCGGTTCACCATTTTTGAAACACTGGTCCTGAAAATGTATCAATCACAATTTGAACGAAACAAACTCGATGGTTAAAGTTTGATGGACTTAATTTGGACGTGTGGATCACTATAATCAAACTTGCATGAAATTAAAGTCGTTTCAGTTACTTGGTGGCCTTCTACTTTGTTACTTGTTTGGTCGAGACCTCAGACCATTGTATACATAGCGATTACTCGCATTTTGTCTTGTATGTACTTCTGTTCGGGTTGAATCCCTTGTAGTTTAATTAGACAGAGAGTGTGGTAAGTTTGCGATTTCTTTCGCTTAAGCCTCGTTTGGGACCCAGTTTATGTAAAACCTGGGTATTTATATTATGGTTTTCAAGCCTACCAAACTTGTTTGGATGCAACTTTCACACCAAAACCATAAATATAACAATAATCCTCAAAACACTCCCAAATGAGGATGAGGTTATTCCCAAAGGCGCACCAAAGTTGTGTTGTGTAACGTATAAAAAGTATACAAACAAATTAGGGATGGGCTCAAGGCTAGGTGGTCAGTGTGGCAATATAACATGTTGAGTTTCATTCATATAATGTGGAAGAGATCCTTAACCGTCAAACTACCCAAAAAAAGGGAAAAATGATGAGTACCCTATAAATTGTAGTTTCAAGGCAATGTGTCCTCCAACCTAAGACATTTAAAACATATCTATTAACTTCAACACTATTTATTCTTGCATTTTTACTTTGAAGTAAAAAAAAAAATTTGATTTTTTTTAGGCCAAAATACTTCCATTTCATCCCGATTTTATGTTTTTTTTATCACGCTCCATGTTCACTCTCTAAGTCAGTCCAGCACAACTCGAATATAGAACTAGGACCAACACAACTTGAATATAGACCTAGACCAACACAATTTCAATATAAACCAGCCTGACATGTGTTTTGCTGGATCGATAGAGTTTTAACGTCAGAAGCTATTCCAACACATTTTGTTAGAAGCCGGACATGCACATTTTCTGCCAGACAGTGCCCAACAGATTTTGAAGATCATAAATCAATCTAACACATTTTTGTGTCGGACAGGCACATGTTGGTCACCACTTTTTTTTGAGATAAATGTGCGTTAAAATATGGGTATTTTGGTTTTAAAAATTAACTTTTTGCTTGATGGGGTGGATGCAATAATAAATAGTAGTGTTGGGTTAATAGTGGTGGTGCCAATAGCATTGGGGCGAGGGGGGGAAGTGTTGTATAGTTTGGGGGATATCTATAATTTTCTTAATAAATATCATATAATAAAACCATTTGCTCCTTTACAAAAAAGCTACAATCACTTCTAATTGTAAAACCAATTTAAGGCTTTGATGTTGATGTGCTTCAAGTCCAAAAATATTTTCCTCAAACCTATGCGCATCCTAGCCACCCAATTTCTATATGATTGCTCACATTGACTGAAGGATCTTCTTGTCCTAAAGGTCGTGAGTGTTGTAATATGTTGTAGAAAGTTACACTCATGTTCCCTAAACTAACCTTGTTACAAAAATCCCTCCCTAATTTTGTTTTTAGATGATGCCCCTTTTTTCTATTTTATTTATTCTTCAAAATACCCCATTTTTTACCTTGAATGTACGAAGTAATAACAACTTTTGGATCAAAGTTATAAACTGTGACTTTGGATTTTCATGGCTTGGGGGCAAGTTCTTTTACTGTGACTTCAAGCCTTCATAATTTGAATTCAAATGTTTACTATTATTTCAAACCTTCATAGTCAAAAGTCAAGGTTTTATTGCGACCTCCGATTTGTCCATAGTCTTAAGTCAAGTTGTGTTGAAATAACTTTCGATCATCAAGAACCCAAGTCATTTCAAAATTTTGACTTTAGCCTTTAAAAGTTCGAAGTCAACACTTTCTCAATATTTTTTAAGTCAAGTGGCTTTGGATATTGAACATCTCAAGTCATTACCAAGAGTCATACTTCGGATCTTTATGATTATCTTCTCATTTGACCCACTAATGATCCTTTGTATGGATTGTGGGTCATGAGCAATGCTAGGTCGCTTTGAGAAAACCTTTGTGGTTTATAGCTCGTAGTTGAACATGGAGTGTTCAAGTAAATATTTATTCCTATACCATATAGATAATTTTTCTGTCAAAATATTTTTTATTTTATTTTAATAATATGTGATGTTTAAAATTTTTATTTGAATTTTTATGAACATCTTGATATTTTATTTATCAAAACTGATTTTATAATGATTTAAATATTCAAACAATAATTTTATGTTTTTTTAAATAAATAATAATATAATTACATGGGAGCCTTGATAGAACTTTTGGGCCTCCCATAGCAAATTGAGTGGGGCCCATTATGTGCCATAATGGGTGGCACGCCCCACCCAGGATACTTTATATTTTTTTGTAGTCAAGCTCTAACATTTGAGAGATGAGTTTGTGTAGTTTCAATAAAAATTAAGCCTTGAGGAAAATTTGAATGGTATTTTGGTATGTATGAGAAGACTTGTGCATAAAATAAAAAATGATAATATTATCATATATTAATTTATTATTTGAATTAATTGATACGAAAATAGTTTATGAAGTAGGGGATAATGGTTCTAGCACCTTCTATAATATATTGATGACCCATCTATAGAATGGAGAGCTCATATCTCACCCCACAAGTCACTCGAGATCAATGGTGCATATGTAATCTCACATGAGTGGCAAACCAAAAAAACCCTAAATTAGCACTATAAAAAAGGGAATACCCTATCCAAATATTTACACCATATCTCTTATATCTAAAATATCTTTTATCTATTCCACATATATATATACAATAAGAGGGGAACAACCGTAGTAGAGGAATTCTCTCTCTCTCTTGTGAAAATTAAGGGGCACACCTCACCTAGAAGGAAACTGTTCTCTCATCTTAAAAACTCTCTCGCCTCTCAAATAAAACCCTAAGGGGGCATACCCCATTCCATCTCTCTCATGGTTGCTCTCTTGTCTCCCATCATCTCTTATCTCACATTGAGGATAAGGTTATAGAGTGTGATAGGAAACTAGGTTAAGAGGGTTCACTAGTAATTCAATTTTGTGATCAAAGAAGTTCATGTTCCATCATTGTGGCTTGTCCAAAACTTGCTTATCGGTTAAGATTGAATGTTGAACATTAAGCCTCGCACCATCAGAAGGTGATGATTAGGTGTGGGGTGTAAGAAGTCCGGATAAGATAATCTCCGACACCCTCTTTTGTTTATTGCATATCTATTTATTATGTATTTTATTCCCCAACATAGGTTGTGTATTTTATTTGTTAATGAAAATAACGGTTTTGAATGGCTTCAAGTTATTGATATCCTATTGTATTATTTTTAATTTTTTATTTTAAATTATTATATTATAAAATGACTCATTGTGAGTAATCTAGGGCGCGAAGAAAATAAAAAGAATTGAAAATAATAGTAAAAAGAATTGAAAAAAAGATAAAAAAATTATTATATACTCACGGCTAGATCACACGAGTCCTTCTTTCACTATTTGATAAGGAAAAAGTTTATTTAAGGTTGGGACCCTAAACAATTTAATTCATACGCATCTAAAAATTTCAATGGAAAAAGTTGGTTCAATACCAAAAAACCCTCAAATCTGATTGTCTCGATCTTGAGATGCATGGACTTAAACAAAACAGACTTCAAGGCTTAGAAACAGTGCATCATATAATGCATTATCTAGACCCTCAATTTTCAAGATTTTCAAGTTTTGCTCGATCTACACTATTTTGGAAGCTTTAAATTTTATAATTAGGGATTAAAATAAAATTTAAAGTCATCATAAAGTTTCTCAATACTGGAACGATGTCTCTAGACACTCTTTGAAGGTGCACCTTATTTTGATCATTTAGGGCCTCGGCCTTATACAAACCACACCCACTTGAGTTGAGGCTCCAAACAATAAAATTAGATTCGACCTCAAAATTTTCGCTAGAAGAGGTTGTTTTGATGCCCAAATATCATCAAATTGATCATCTTGACATCAAGATGCATGAACATGAGAAAAATATCTTTCAAGTTTTGAAAATAGTGTATATTGCAATACATTTTTGGACCGTCAATTTTTTAAGATTTTCAAGTTTTCATAGATCTGCTCAATCTATCCTACTTTTTTAAGCTTGAAATTTTATACTCAGAGATAAAAAATATATTTCAAGGCTATCACAAAGGTTTCCGCTATTGAAATCACATTTCTCGACACTATTTGAAGGTGTGCTTTATTTTGATTGTGTAGAGTCTTGACTCTATACATATTGCACCCTTTGATAAATATGATAATTTTATTTCAAAATATGATTATTGGATCCAGTTTCTATGTAGCCAAGCCCCGCAAGTGGAGAAATGCGGGCCTCTTAATAAATATATTTTTGAAATGGATTTTTGGACTTAGTTTTTAAGGACATGTAATCTCTAACATAGATATCATGAACATGGAAAAATAAATAAATTTAAAAAACTAAAATTAATAATTTCAGTAAGAAAACATTTAGACCGTTGATTTCCATTGTTTTTAAGATGAAATACCTATTTGCATCCGATGGATGCTTTACACTTTTGGACCGCATATGTAGTCATGCAGTCCAGCCCGCATGAAACAATTTTTATACCACAAATTTCTAATGGCCTCAGTCCTAATGCTGGGGATTTTTAGCTTACCCTTGGGTGGAAGAAGGCCCAACTGTCTATTTTCTGTGAAGTCCATGTCTATTCTAAGATGCACCACTCTTTCTCTCTCCTCTCTCAAATTTTATTTGTACCCTCACTATCTCCCCTCTCTCAGACCAGCTTCAAATGTGCGATTTTGCTCTGCAAGTTCCGGACTTGCAGTTTCGGCTACGCCCCATTTCAAAACTGGTGAGATTTTGTTTGGATTTCTTCTTAGCCACCTGTATAATCTTAATGCTTTGTTGGGTTTCTTGCATTTTGTTATCTGATCTTACTGCCATGCTCTTTCATTCCTTCATGTTCTAAATATCTAAGTTGAAACACTTGTTGGATTTCTCTATTGCTACTTTGATGTGTTTTTATCCATAAGCATTGGGGTTTTTTTGTTAATGTGATTAATAATAATATTATACTGGTAATTTGAGTTTGGAAAAACTGGGTATTTTAGGAGCTCCAGCCTTTCTTGTGAATTTTTTAGCTTTTTATGGGAACTTTTTAGCTTGTTATGGGAACGCGATGTGCTAGTCTTATGCATAAGAGAACCAGTTTTCATTCAGTGAAACACAATAAAGCAAATTGATGCAAACAAGTGCATGTTATGAACACAAGTACACAATCTGCTTGGTATTTGTGTGTATTCCAAACCCAATGAACCTTAGAAAGCCCTAGTAATGCATATCTGCATATCGCGTAAGGAATTTATGATATTCTATGTTCTCCATGACAATACATAGTATTTCCATGTGGTTATGATATTCTATGTACTCCATGGTAATACATAGTATTTCCACGTTGTTTGAAATCCTCTAGAATACTTGCATGCACTTTATGATATCAGAAATATTGTTATGTAATCAGTGACACAGTTTAATTGTTTGTTATTGTTCATTCCATATAAACTTGCAGATTCTGAAGGTTCAAAGGTTATCTTAAAGGGAATGGAATATGCTGAACTTGAAGTATGTACATTATCTTTTAGCCCTTCCCCATTATCGAGCATGTCTTTCTATGATTTATTTCTTTAAACATTGCAAGAATATATCTTGCACCGCACTTGATTACCCGTGCTTTGAGGTTGTTAAATTGTCGGTCTTTTTATTATTGAAAAAAGCTTCTGGTCTTTTTAAGTTGAAGGTTCCAAGTTCCTAAATTTTCCTGGTAACCTGGCTGTTGATTTTTTGACTTGGGTGCATGTCACTCCAACTTTTTATTACTCCATTTTATTTACAATTTCACAGATAATTATTACCAGAATTCATAGAAGATTCCTTGTACTATTTTGTGGATCAAAGTATGTATTACTTGTAGTCACGAATATCTAGGCCCATGCACTTTTTCTATATCTCTAGAGGAATGAAATATGGCCAATACTAAAGGCGAAATTACATTTTGGAACAGAACTGGGTTCAGTCACAAGGGTATCGCTCGGGACAAGCACTGATGCTTTGGAAGCGCCTGTACGGAAACAATATTTGGGCACATCATGGTGATGAATTAGAAGGTTGTGTGTAAACTTTGATTCTGTGAGATGGTTTACTATTTTCATTAGTATGGTTTGGTTACTTTCCAAGCTTTGTTAGAATTATTTTCTTCATACTAGTCTGCCCCCTGAAGATTTTCTTTGAGTTTTGACTAAATTGTCTGGATTTTTATTCCTGATTTCTTGAAACAAAGCACATGCAGACAAGACGCACAAAGCGCAATAAACACTCTGCATTTTAACAATTGTACATCTAAGTATCTAATTCTGCTAGGCTGTGACCAATTGATAGAAGTACTGCACCATTGCCAACCTTTTCAGGAGAAAGTGCTTCAGTTTTAAGACCCTATGAATCAAATTCTCACCCATGTTTCTCTTGTTCCACACTCTCTAATATAATTGCCTATTTCGGCCCTTGGCATCATTGAATTGCTGTCTTGTTGCTTTTTGCTCAAGATGCAAACGTTTACTTTAATGCAGACTAAAGAAAGCAGACACACATCCCATAATGCGACTCTTTCTTTGATTCTATCGAATACAGTCCTAGGTACCTGTAGACACCCTGTTTGTTTTACATGTACCATGACATTACAGTATAACTCCTCTGTTTAGTCGATTACGTTGATGAGAAGAGAGGAAGAATACAATCATGAGAAGAAGAAGAAGAAGAAAGTGGTACATCTTAAACAATTAACCTTTTTTTTTAAAAAAAAAGAAATTGGTACATCTTAAACATATTGCCCTATATGCTTCAAGTGTGAATCCCCTTCTGGTTCTCTGGTGCTCTTCTGAGCTCCAGTTGTATGTTATTGGTGTGATCTTCTCTCCTTATCTCTCACATTGCACTCTCTTTGTTCTCTCATGTCCCTATGTCTCTGTGTATATTTTAATACTTATATCTGTATATCCCTTCTAGGTGAGATCCTTTAGCTTTTATACAAGCATTTTTGTGGTCTCAATTGGAGCGGGTGGTTATAGAGAGTAGTGGAGGCAGCTATGTTGAGGTAGAGGGATAAAGAACCTGAGTGGCCAGGATAGAACGTCCCTCAGGCTGTGTGACTGGCACTAAAGAGGGACCTTTGGCTTTTCGCCACGCACATCATCCTTTGTTTTATAATATTTTTTATTTTTAACCACTTATGGGTAATAATTATTGAGATACATGGCATAGATGGGGTCATTTAGCTTTTGCCTTTATTGTTTTTTAATAACATAAGCATTGCGATGGTGTACCATGGTGACTACTAAAGGTCCTTCCTAAGGCTTGAGCTTTCCTAATGAATATATGTTTGCAGTTGAGTGGAAAATCTCCTTGAATACTAGGTCTCCAACTTTGAATTGTCTAGGGATGGCCTTCTTTTGGTATGCTTGCTCAACCCCCTGGTGGTATGTCTTCATGATGTTGGAGGATCGAAGATGCCTTTCATCCATTGTGTCAAGGGAGGCTAGATAAGCTTCGTCTGTTTGTCTGTTATCTGATTCTTTCGGAGCAAGTATCTTGGGAGAGGTATTTCCACTTTGACAGGCATTACTGCCTCCATGATGTAAACTATCGATTATGGGGTCATTCCTTGATGGTCTTCTCGGTAGTTCTATAGGCCCAGAGTGCATCATGTAGTTTATTATGCCTTTCCATTTTCTAATATTCAATCAATTATCTCGGGCTTATTAGTGGCTTAGGCCTGGTCATTTACTTAGGGGTAATATTGGTAGAGAACTTCTGTATTATGCCAAATTTCTTGCATACCTTGGTACCTTTTCATTTTTGAAGTTGGCCTCATTATTTGTGATTATGGTTTTTAGGACTCCGTATCTGTAGCCAACTAGGGGCTACCCTATTATCACTCATACATGAGCAAATAATTGCATGTTTGTATCAGAACTTCCCTTGCATGATTGTCCTATGTCTCAATATTAAGTTCACTGTCAAATCATCAAACTCTAGATCCATTTAGAAAATGGGGAATCGCAATAACCATATAGTTTATGGTGGGTCTCCATATCTGCATCACATATGGTGGGGGTTTTGATAACCATGTTGCATTGGCCTGTATAGCCTTGAAAACGTACACATGGGTTTGTTTGTCCGCAGTTGGCCCCATATTGTCTGTTTTGGCTTGAATCTTGAAGCTCGAAAGCAGGATCTGACTTTATTGAACGTTTGGGGATGGGCATTAAGCCCTAGGTCCCTTCTCTCAGAGTCTTCTATAGTCAAAATCTGTAACATCATGGCTACTCGAGCATCCATCACATAAGGCATAAGTTGTGCAAGACATGCAGATCTCGGGATGTAAGCTGAAGGCATTGGCCCTGTAGGATACAAGCCATGCAAGGCATAGAAGACAAGCACCACTTAGGGCATAGGCCATACAGAGGATAAGTTATCTGATACATAAACTGTAATGAGGCATGATTCAGACATGACATGAACCATACAAGGCATATGTCATAACAGATATGAGCCATACAAAGGTGTAAGTCACATAGGATATATGAGCCATACAAGTCATGTGTCCCATAATATGTGAACTACGACATGCATATTATTCGGTTTCTGAAGTACTAGGTGTACAACTGCCATAACACATCTTGTATGCGGCCTAATATGGTAGAGATCATATTTTGGGTTTGATCCTAGTTCAGTGACAATAGGTCTACATCAGGGGGTCACTATTGAGCCCATACCTTTTTGTATCAGTCATGGATAACTTAACTAGGCACGTACAAGATGAGTTACCGTGGTATATGTTGTTTGCAAATGACAGTTTTGATCGATGAAGACCCAAAACATCGTCAACACAAAGTTAAACTTTGAAGGATGCTCTAGAATATAAAGGTTTTAAAATTAGCCGGACTTAAACAAATATATGGAATGCAAGTTTAGCAATATGAGGAAGTAGTTAAGATTGACGACCAAGAAATAACAAAAAGAGCACACTTTCTATATTTTGGGTCGATAATAGAAAATGAAGCGATAGAGGAAGATGTCACGCATAGAATCAGAGCTGGGTGAGCAAAGTGGAGATGTGCATCCGGAGTTTTCTGTGATTATCGCATACCAATGAAGCTAAAGGGCAAGTTCTATGGGACAACTATGAGACCAGCTTTACTTTATAGGGAGGAATGTTGGAAGGTCAAGAACCACATACCCATAGAACGAATGAGATGGATGAGTGGCAAGACAAGAAGGGATAGAATTCAAAGTGAATACATTCGGGAGAATTTAGGTATGGCACCAATAGGCGATAAGATGAGAGAAAATAGACTTAGTTAGGCTGGTCATATGCAACGTAGACGCAGTATAGCACCTGTTAGGAGGTGCGAGTTGGTTGAAGTGGAAGACTCAAAAAGGGCAAGGGGTAGGCCGAAAAGAACATAGTTGGAAGTAGTGAGAAAAAATATGGGGACTTATGGTCTCACTGAGGATATGACCCTTGATAGAGCAGAATGGCGGACCAAGATTCGTGTAGCCAACCCCAATTAGTTGGAAAAGGCTCTGATGGTGATGATCCTTTTAAAATTCATTGAGATAAGGAAATACTAGTTTCTGATCTCAATAGCAAGAACTAATGGGGGAATGTAGTCAGCAATTGGGCCAGTTTGAAGACTGTATCACTGACTTTAGTTGGAGCATTAGGACCGGGCATTAAGTTATGGTGATTATGTCAATGGAATCCCAACTAGCTCCTTAGTCTAGAATCATAGGGAACACCCTATCTGAAGATCTTGTCAAATGTCAAATCATGTCTAGGATGTCTATTGTAAAGATTGAGAAAGAGGATGTGCGTGCTGCTTTGATCCCTTGGCCACAAGGGCATAGAGAAGCCGTGAGGAATTTCATTGAGCACTAGTAATGCGTCTTAGATGCTAAAGATGTCAACTTTATTCACAAGTATTTGCTTTATTCCCTTGAAGATGCGTTGATGAAAGGAAGCATTATTTCTGATATTGCCTTTAAATAGAGACCATCATGTCAATATCATGGCCATTGATTGGTAGGAGGCTTCGGCCTTTCCATACGTTATTGAGTTTTCCACCATGGAGGGGTCACTGAATTCTACCTTTATGCGGGTGACAGGCTTCAAAGACTGTAGCGCACCTAAATAGCCATGACGGCTTGAACTTCTCATTGAATCGCTTCATGTGACAACCATATTTGTCACAGGGCGGTTATTGAACAATTTTCTTGGACTCTCAGCTCCTACCTCAATGACTAGGCTGTACGTCAAACACGAAGCTGATTCGAGCTGCGTTAAGCTTCAATGGAGGCACTAACTCATTTGTCTCACATGCAAGGGTTGTGTTTCAGCCATTGAAAAATTGTCATGGGCCAGAGGTGTCATAGAGCATTTCGCACATGGATTCTTGGTTTTGCCTGCACAAGGCTTCCCAGCAGTCAACCTTGATCGTGCAAGGCTTTCAAAACACTCGGGGTCAGAAACTAGTTGTGACTGTGTGGAGCTTTCACTAAGCCAACTTGTATGCGTGACATACGCGTAAACAGTTCCTCCTTGGGGCGACTATGTTAAGATATCATGTCCTATCCTTTGTATGAATAAGGTTATACATTCAGGCCTCTCAGCCTTAAGAGAATGTCACATATGTGTGTGCATATTTATCTACATGCTATCTGAGTCATATCTCTAGACTCAAGCTTTTAATTGTACTTATATGCGTAACTTGTAGCTGTGAGGCTTTTCAAGCATGAATCCTGAGATGGACCTTGTTAGGTTCATCAAGGCTTAAGGGTGGTATAAAAACTACCCAAACAATTGCATGTTGTTTTTTTTCTTCCCTGTTCATTGTTGGCATCTAATCTGTTTGTTTCAATCGGATTATTTTGACATGCGTGTTAAAATTTGGAACTTTGAGAAATTGGAAATTTTAATGTATGATGTATGATATTCCAATGTCTTATATACCAGGTTTAAACAAAGATTTTAAAGCAATGTTGTGTGGAGTTGCTGAATTCAAGGCATTGACTCTAAAGGATGTTTACACTTCATCAGACAATACTCGCAAGGTGGATTTTAACAGTTGCCATTGCTTATTGATCATTAGGTTTTTGTTAACATCCTTCATAGTGGACTTGTGTATATTTGTATTGCATTTGATATTCTGACACATGATTTCACTGCTTGAGAATATTCTCATTGATTTTAAATACCGACAGGAGATTGCAGATTCTATTTAGTTTGGCAGATGGACTTGTGATAGAAACTGTAGTGATTCCTTGCGATAGGGGGCGGAACACTGTTTGTGTTTCGAGTCAAGTGGGTTGTGCAATGAATTGTCAATTTTGCTATACTGGCAGGTATGTTCTTTTGAGTTCTTCGAGTGTATTAAAACATAATGTTTTTTTAGTCTAATGAGCCAGCCAAACTGCAATACGGTCGAAGTCTAGTTGTGTACTATGAAAATAAGAAAGTTATTATGCTTCTGGATCTTGTTGTATTCAGTATTTTCCTTATTGTTAACCATCAAAACATAAGAAATTCCCTTGTAGCTTTCTCAGTCATCAAAAAGTAAAGGGAGAAACTTCTGGGTCTTTCATGTTGGTTTTTTTTTTAATTTTGTAGGATGGGCTTGAGGAAGAACTTGACTGCTGCTGAAATTGTGGAGCAGGCTGTTTTTGCTCGACGTTTGTTCTCCAGAGAAATTGGTCCTATCACAAATGTCGTGTTTATGGTGAGAATCATGGACGTTGGATTATATTTGCTAAGCATATTGCAGTTCAATGAATTCAACTAGAGACTAGCTAGAAACAACTAGTCATATTTACACTCTGGGAATTGGATATTTCTGTAAATCTTTGGCATCTTTATCATTCATGTGTTTCCATATCATTATTGTTTTTAATATGATTGTTATTAACTTATTATCTCTGATAAGAAGACTTGCTGAGTCAATCTAGGCGAAGCACTACTTTTAGCAAAACTTAATTGGGAGTGTACTTTTACTATCTACTGCCAAAAATACCAATTTTCGACTTATACAGAAAAACCTTTATTTTTTCTTACCCATTTCCTAGTAGTAAATTTTTGTTAGATTTCTTTATTCTCACCGATTTAAACATAGAATGAGTACTACAGGGAATGGGAGAACCGCTTCATAATATTGACAATGTCCTAAAGGCTTCAGCCATAATGGTTGATGAACAAGGGCTTTATTTCAGCCCTCGCAAAGTAACAGTCTCGACAAGTGGGCTCGTCCCCCAGTTGAAACGTTTTCTTCAAGAGTCTTCATGTGCACTAGCAGTCAGTCTCAATGCCACAACTGATGAGGTATTATTCCATTTCATGAAGAATATTGCCTTTTTCTTATGAACTTCAAAGATAACTGCTGTAAGATTCTCAATATTTTTCTTTTTCTCTAGATATTTTCTATTAAATTAATATTATTAGAAATTAAGAATTGAAGAGTAGAACAATAAAGCAAGAAATTCACCAGCATATAATTTCTTCTTTTAAATCTGTTAGTAAAAATGTTTGGTCACAAGGAAATTTATCCAACATTACATGTGGATTAATAAAAAATGATCTACTGGAATAGCAGGTCAGGAACTGGATAATGCCGATTCATCGAAAATATAATCTGGCCCCTTTTCTTGACACTTAAGGGATTAGCTTTGCTTCAAGATTTCATTTCATGAAGAATATTGCCTTTTTCTTATGAACTTCAAAGATAACTGCTTTAAGATTCTCAATATTTTTCTTTTTCTCTAGATATTTTCTACAAAATTAATATTATTAGAAATTAAGAATTGAAGAGTAGAACAAGAAAGCATGAAATTCACCAGCATATAATTTATTCTTTTGAATCTGTTAGTGAAAATGTTTGGTGACGAGGAAAATTTATCCAACATTACATGTGGATTTTAAAAAACGATTTACGGGAATTGCAGGTCAGGAACTGGATAATGCCGATTAATCGAAAATATAATCTGGCCCGTCTTCTTGACACTTTAAGGGATGAGCTTCGCTTCAAGCACAATTACAAAGTGCTGTTCGAGTACGTCATGCTTGCAGGAGTGAATGACAGGTACCCCTTGCTTTGCCCCCTTCTGTTCAGTTCATGAGTTGTATATGTAATAACTGTAGGTTTTCTAGAGCGCATCTATTTTCTCTTATCTTTGAAGTTGCGTCATTAATGAAAGTTTTGAAAATGACCAAGTCCTCATTTCTTTGGAGATCAAGAGCATGTTTAGAAAACACTGTAATTTACTAATAGAACACTGTATTTTTCTTTCTGCTGCATGTGACCATGAGTAACATGATAATTACCATCCCGTTTCAATGAACCTACCTTCATAAAATATTAGGAATTATTACCATAAGGGGCACTTTCTGGGAAGAGAAATTTAACAGGTTTTTAGTCTTGCATGCACGGCTTTTTCTGAATCTGAGTCTTGATATTCATCTGCAGATATCTCCTCTGTTTTGAACCTTTGAGGCCTCTTCTGATCCAATTTTGTAGAAATTTTGAAGTATCCTAGCCAGACTAGTTTCACCAACTTGGTTTAAATAATGTAACAGTTTTTAATTTGTAGAACATATTCCTATACCTCACACATTGTCAACCCTAATTATTATTATTGAAGAAACAATTTTAAATGAAGGCACTTATTCAATCTGAGTCCAAAACCAAGAAAAATAGGAAAGTATACTGTACTTAATTGCTGAATGATATACAGCCCTGGGGCCATCCATCCACTCTGTTCCCTATGGCATATGGTGGAGCTTGACAAGGCCTCAACAAATGTTTTCCCCAATAAATATGATTAGTTTGTTCATCATCAGGAACAGATGAAGATTTCTCTGTCGTGTACCTCATTCTGTACATCGCTATCTTATAATTCTGGTCTTCTAATTTTGTCCCGAGTTTGACCCTCTACACCTGTATTTTCAGCATGGAGGACGCAAAGAGGCTGGCAGCCCTAGTCAATGGAGTCCCTTGCAAAATCAATCTCATAACTTTCAACCCTCATAGTGGGTCTGAATTCGAACCCACTAGTGATGAACAAATGGTTGAGTTTCGAAATACCCTTGCAAGTGAAGGGTGCATAGTTTTCATGAGACAGAGTAGAGGTGATGATAAGATGGCAGCGTGTGGACAGCTTGGGAAGCCTGGAGATATCCAAGCTCCTCGTCTCCGTGTTCCCCCTAGGTTTCAGGCTTCATTACAAGGGCCTGAGGGTGCAGCTGATATTTTGTCCACATGAATTTGGCTGGATTCCAGTGACTGAGAAACATAGGATCTATGTATATTTCTCGATGAGGGCCTTGTTGTTTTCCTTGCTATCTGGAGATGGCTCATGGAGAAAGGTGGGTTGGGATGTAATTTTTGGTAGAACATCTTTGTATACTCGTGGGAAAATTTGGAGTTGTATATATTTAGAAACAAATGGGGAAATATGCTACAATGGACTTCAAAAAATTAATTGTCCATTTGATTGAAATGGAGTGATGGGCTGAGTGGAATTACTGATAGAAATAAAAGGAATGCTGATGAAGTATTCAAAACTTTAGTAGAACTATCCTCGAGTATAAAAAATATCAGAAAATGGCTATGAAATATTCAATTTTGCACAAGGTGTCGTAATAATAACAGAACTTTTAAAAAGTTTTTGATTCTATGTAGGCACGTTTGGTACGTATAAAAATATTTTCGTGAAGGTATTTTTGCATAAAAGAACTTGTCCATATGAATAAGGAGATTATATACAATGAGACTATTTACGTTTGATACAAGGTGGGCACAATTCTTTACAACCATTTGATATGAAATTTGATGACTTGGATGTGTCACAAAGTTTGAAAAAAATTCTTTTGAAGTTTGAGCTTGGTCTGGAATAATTGTAGCCAACCAATTTCACATTCACTAGTCATTTTTGTGATCACTTTATATCAAAGATAAATGATTTCACTATACTTTTCCATGATTAAGTGTGGGAGTTTTTTCACCCCAAATGATCCTAGTGCATTTTTTTACACCAATTGACAACCAATTGGTATGAAATAACTCCCATGTAGTACTTTCGTGCAAGAAAATATTTTCACACAAACATGTTTTTTTTAAAAAAAACTTCCCCGGAATATGTGAAAGAGCTAGAACACTTTCATTTCCTAGTTAAAATGCAGTGGCCCCTGAATATATCTAATAATATCCAGGTCTTGTTTTGGCGGGTTTGTCTCTAGATACCATCCTAGTTAAAATGCAGTGGCCCCTGAATATATCTAATAATATCCAGGTCTTGTTTTGGCGGGTTTGTCTCTAGATACCATCCATTGAGGGGTAGTGACCCAGTGGAGTGTGTTTTGTTCACAATCCATTGATTAATAGCAAGGACTGAAAAACCCCTTATACCGATTCAAACTGATCTTAGACTGATCTAAATCGCTGATCCAACATTTTGACACAAATTTGTGAGGTGAACGATCCGCCCTACCGATACAAGCACCATTAACCAACAAGGTTATTTGGAAACAAGTGAGAGTTGTGGGTGTTTTAGCATCAATTTTCTTTAATAAATGCGGTAAAGAATCCTCACCAATCTGCCGGACTGTTCTCTTTTTTGCTTATGAAACACTTTGGTAAAGAGCATAAGTTAGTTTTTTTAAAGAGTCACTGAAGTGGTGTCAATGGGAATAAAAACCATAATATGGTGCCTAAAGTATGAGGGTGTTATCACCATAACTCTAGCCTTTTTTCTGAATCAAGGTTTTCAATAGTAACAGTTCGGTAGAAAGTAAGGCCCATAAAATCATGACTATAAAGAAGTGCCTCTATAAGTCTTTTAGGCCTCTAAGGCTATAAAGAACCATGGCCCTTGGTAAGTAAATGATTCGCTTTAGGTTAGATTATTTGATTTGAAATTTTTAGATCCACTAAAAATTGTAAGTATTTCAAAATTTTGAGTTCCTAAACACAATTGGAATGAATTGGGTGCTCTACGTGTAATCTTAGGGTGATTTATTTTTTGTTGATCCATGGTGCGTATAGGTTTAGCGGGTGAGGTTTCAAAAGTTGGGGTCTTAAAAAAAATAAAAATAAAAGTTGTCTATAAAAACTCTATTTATTTTTGTATATGGAGGTCAGAATTATTCTTTTTTAAATTTTAAAATGGGTGGCAACAAGAATTAACACAAAGTTAAAAAAAAAATTAATAAAATTCTTGGACTTCATAACTCACTCCAAGCCACCATATCTAATGAGTAAGAATAAGCATAACCAGTTTTGATTGAACCACTCAGTAGAGTTAATCGTGGTAAGAAAGGACCAGTTTTGATTGAACCACCCAGTAGAGTTAACCGTGGTAAGAAGGGCATGTCTATTTTTAAAATTTATTAATGGATGAAATTTCCATAGGGCTTAGGCTTTATGAAGACAAAACAAAACTTCACACCTAAAATCTTCATCTAGAAAGCACTTTTGTCATCTAAAATCTAAAACTAATTTTCTACATCGACAATAAAATTTGAAACTCAAAAAATGGTATAGATCTTGCATAAATGTGAACACTTCATTTTAGGATAAAATGGATGGTCTAAATGATTTGTTGCAATATACACTATTTTTAAATTTTGAAATCCTAACATATAACATAATGTTGAAGCTGAGATAATCGGTTTCAATAATTTTCTTGGATTTTAATTTTTGATGAGCTAGGTGAGGCTTTTCTTATTTTGATAGGCCCTATCAAACTATTTTCCTTTATTAATTTGCTATCCTAAATCCGCAAAAGGAATCACCACCGTTGATTCAAGATATAATCTGCTGCACTGAATTATCATATAAGAAAGAAAAAGACCATAGGTTTTGAGAGCGGGCGGCCACCATGGCTGCAGCTTCATCCACCACTCTAAACACTTCTTCTCTCTCCACGCATTCTCACCACCTCAAAAACCTAAAGAAACCTCTCTCTAAACTCAAATCGCAATTTCTTCCAAACCCCGGTTTCTTGCTCAAGTCCTCTCTCTCTCTAGAATTATACCGCCGAAAATGGAGGAACAGAGGAAATGGGTTGGCAATTACAGCTTACATGGAGAGACCCAATTCGTTTGGGGGCTTTGTGAGAAACGTTGTCGGCTCTCTCCCAGTTGTGGGGCTCTTAGCGAGGATTTTGAGTGATGAAGGAGGAGTAGGAGGTGATCTTGTTGATTTTGCAGAGTTTCGCAGACGGGTGGGAAAGAGATGCAGTAACATTGATTCTCAAGCTTTCTATGATTTCAAAGAGCGGCGAGGCCGGGTAAGCTTGAGTTTTTATTGGGTTCTTTTCCTTTTTTTTTGTTGGTAATTTTTTGCTGAATTGAGATTGATAATAGAAATTCCCTGGTTTTTATTCTTAAGTTTCAACCTCCATTTTGTTGGTAATTTCAGGTACGAGAAACGGAATTCTTTTCCAAGGAAAATAAAGTTATCAATTTGTGTTTAGTTTTAAAATTTTCATTTTTGGATACTAAAACAACCGGAGTATTTTTGCTGATAACATTGCTGAAGTGCTTTCTTTTCTGTTAATTGGATTATATTCCTGAATGAATTAGTGTCTTCACCTTATGGATGAAGTGGAAAAGAATCAATGTTTTCCATGTGATGCTGAGAGAAATCATATCCAAATCAATGTGAAATTACTTGGCTCAGGCTGTGGGCGTCATAACCCAGGGGAGTTTGAGTGGACTTGCTCAAGTCATGTGCGAGCCCTTAATTGCAAAAGGAAATTACAAAAAAATAAAATAAAATTAAATATAAATATCAATCAAGAGCGAAAGAACTTGTAAAATACACTAATAGGAATCTACAAAAACTAGAAAGAAGTATGCGAGAGATGGAATGGGATAAAATCGATTTATAGCTTGAAACAGTTCAGAAAAATAAAACAAAATGAAAAATAGAAAACTAGAGCATATAGTAAGAAAAATTGACAAATTATCATAAAAAACATCGAAAATATTTTACTAAATAAATAATAAGACGTTCTAATCATGCCTAGTTTGTGACCAGGGCACATCACGGTGCCGAGGCCAAGTTTTAGGACACTGTATTCAATCTTCAAGGACAGGGGTGTTTTGTCCCTTGTGTTAGTGGTTGGGTTAGAAGTTAACACTGTGCTTTTTGGTTCAAATCTCGGCTTATCCATCCAAAAGAAAAAATAGAAAGAAAAATTATGGAATTCCATTCTGTGTTTTACTTTAAATGGTGGTTATAAAAAAATTGAATGGTTTTCCATGAAATGATTAAGAGAGCATTGTGTATACATGCTTATTGTCCAGCAACTAAGGGAAAAAAAAGAATAAAAAACACTTATTTAAGAATCAATACTACAGATTCTTAGAAGCATGCATGAAACTAAAGAAAGCACTTATTTAAGAATCATTGAACACTTAAACCTATAAATCCCAAATCTACCTAACTTAATGGGCATGTGTCAAAGAAATATTGCAAAATGGTGAAACAATGAGTACATGAATGAAAATAATAAGAATGGTTGGTGCGAGATATCACCCTATCAAACTTTCTCCAGGTGGTTATACAGAGGGAAAAACATGAAACAAATTTCCAGAGTGAAACTCCAAGAATCTCCACCCTGTGAGGGAGGGAGAAGAAGAACAGGGCGGGGGGGAGAGATGGGTGAAATCTCTTCCTTTTTTGTTTCTCTTTCTTTCGTATTTCCATTTCTATGGTTTGAGGTATATCTCCTTGGTAGGCAGGAGACCCTCTGTATGTTCTCCTGTGCTGCTGGTTGCCTGCCGTAGGTGCTGGCCTCCTCAAATCGGAGGACATTTTGAGTGGGGCTGCTCGGCTTCGCATATCTAACGATATAGAATTCGAGGAGGAGACGTTCTTTGCCATGATGAATGAAGCAAAAGAGGTCAACTACCCTTCTTCTTGAAGTCTAATCCCTTTTGTCTTTCTAAATTTTGGATTTTTTTTATTGGAAAGTATAAAATGAGACCATTTACCTTTGATACAAAGTGGTCACAATAATCATTGCCATTGGATGTGAAATTGAGTGGCTGCAATTATTCCATTGGCCAAGCTCAAACTTCAAAATAAATTTTCTCCGACTTTGTGACACATCCAAGCTATCAAATTTCATATCAAATGGTAGTAAAAATTTGTGACCACCTTGTATCAAAGGTAAATGGTCTCATTGTATACAATCCCTTTTTTTATTTGATCTCAAGATTTATGTTTTATATCCAGGCTTACCGAATTCTTTTATTGCAGAGAAGAGATAAGCTGAAATCTGCAAGTCCAGAAATTCCAATGGCTCTCAGGGCTGAGAAAGCATTGGAAACCATATATGTTTGCTGTTTTGGTAAGGACTTAATTGAAGAAGAAGACGAGAAACTATTGTGTATCATGCTTAATGCAGTTTTTCAAACTGTTGGGCAAGAAGAGATTAATAGGATGGTGAATTTGAAGGCTAAGCAAGCGGCTGAGAATAAGGAACAAGAGCCTTCAGAGAAGCAGCAGACTTTGTCAAACGAAGCTAGACAATTACAGTTGAAGGAACTCGAGTTCCTAAAACAAAACAGCGAAAGCTTTCAGTAAATTTGAACCATTTTAAAATTTGAACCATTTTAAAGTGTCTTGTGATTATCTCAGGTCAGGTCTATACACGTCATGTATGCTAGAATGGAACAGATTAGTTTTGAATGATATTCCAGAGTGTATTTGGTCTCTTGAATCTGAACAAGTGGAAATTATGACTTATTTGGTTTGTAACACACAAAAGTTGTCAGTCGCCCAAAAGAAATGGAGCTTAGGTTGGTTACTTTACTTGGTGTGGTGTTTCTGTTTATCTTTTTTAGTCTTTAATCCTTGCCTCTCACTTTACAAAAGCCCATCAATAGAAACATCTGTACTTCTCAACTGCAATGATAGGTCATACTTATCTCATGGCCTGGACAACAAACAACAAAGTAACATTATGGGTTTCTTCATATATCTTTTGACTTGTTTCATCACATTGGAAGAACACTTAAATCAGGACTTAGAACTTCTAAAATACAAGTCTCTCAGCTACACCTCTAATACAAAGTACAAACCTCACATAGCCTGCAAATCTTACAAGTCAATAAGAGATCAATGAATATGTAATAACGACATGAAGTCTAGGTTTACAATTCTGACACAAATTGAGCAACCCCTCAATCAAATCAAGCCATTGCTTCACAACATTAGCATGGGTTTTTCACCCTAATCCTCAACTTTCTTGCTATTTGAGCAGCTCTAGGATGAACTGGCCTCTTACTGTTATCACACAGTTCCATCTCCACCCAGTTTATGACTTTAAGTATGAGAGATTGAGGCCACACCGCCTTCTTCAAATCACCCTGGTTCGATCCCCTACTCTTCTTAATACCTCTCTCTAAAGCCTCCTCCAAAAATTCCATAAACCAGTTCCCTGCCTCTGTATCTATCTGCTTTCCCAGTTTAATCAGATGGCTAAAACTAGTAGTACTGCTAGTATTAGTACAAGTATTAGACTTTTTCTTCATTTCATCACTTATAGAATTAATGGCTTCTGCTGGTTTTTTCTCCATCGGTAAAGCCTTCTGATTGGAGCTCGATCTTGTCACTCGAGCTCGAGTAGTAATGCTAGTATTAGCACTAGTAGATTTTGGGTTGTTTCTTTCAGGTGTGACTGAAACTGATTGAGATAGCAAGGGCCTCTTCTTACATAGGCTCTTGTGTATGCTTTGATCAATGGCATTGTATTGGAGTTCTAATAGAACTGATGAATCCAAGTCCCCTGCATTTCTTTTAAATTTTTCTCTCTCATCGCAAGTGCCCAAGCTTTGAATTGGGTGGCCAGAATTAGCGGTAGTGGTTGCTGCTAGAATTGCTTCCATGTCGGCCACTGCTTGTATCATTTGGGGATGTAGAGACAGAAACTGATCGAAGCAGGCAGCCGGTGCATCTGATCTAGCTCCCAAGCACAAGTCTGAAAATGTCCTGGAAATTGGTACATTAAATTTCATTAGTGGATACCCATCTGATGACTGCAGTAGAATCAGAGAGAGAGGGAGAGAGAGGATAAAGGAGAATAAATGATGGGTTTTGAGATTCATTACTTGAGAAGGCGGGCTATAGTTTCGGTTGCAGATGCATCTCTCAGCGCTTGAAGAGCGATTCTCTGAGCTGTTTCCCTCTGTTGCATTACCTCCTGTGAAATCACATGGATTCTCTTTGAGAGAGAGAGAGAGAGAGAGAGAGAGAGAGAGAGAGAGTAGTAGTA